TTCCCAGTTAAAACTATGGCTAAGTCTGTCCATGTATTGTGAGATTAAGGAATTTTCATCATGTCTTCTGACTGCTAGTTGGTGTTCATGGATGCGCTCTGCAAGCCTTTTGCCTGTCTGTCCTACATAGTGGTTGTTAAAGTCCTTACACTGTATGTTGTAGATGACTCCTTCTAAGGGTAAAATACATCTACTTGTTCTAATTTTTTTTTTGTGTCTTTTGTGTGCAATCATTCACTACACTTCCCTCAAAACACAACAACCTTGGTCTTTCATCAGATCCATTTTCCTTCTTGCATCACACAATCTAATATTTGCTGGAAATAATTTGGGTTTTCAATCAACAACATGGTATCATCTGCATATAAAAGTACATGAATAAAGGTAGTCCCCAGTTTAAGAACGAATTCCATTCCCAAGGTCTGTCCTTAAGTTGAATTTGCGTGTAAGCTGAAACAGTATTGTTGTATAAGTAGTATTGTGTTGTGACCTGAAACCATTGGGTATTTAACTTGAATCATTGTGTATTTAACTGGAATTTTGCTACAATAGGCTCCATTCTTAACTATGGGTTGCCTGTAACCCAGGCATTCTTAAGCTGGGGACTACCTGTACTCACATCCTCAAGCATCACATCTCTAACACCACCGCAAATATTCCTTGTATATTTATATAAATGTACTTAACTAAAGGGCATCGCACTTCCCTGTCTTATTGACTGCTCGGTCCTGGACTATTTGCTAAGCATTCCATTTTTCTCCCACATGCTTTATTTCCATCCTATATAGCTCTTATTCCATTTGCAAACAACCTTCAACTCCATACTTGCACAAAATATTCCATAATTTAAAACTATTTATTTATCATAGACTTTTTCTAAACAAATATACAATTAACTTGGCTCCTCACATTCTTGGTGACCTATGTTCTAGTCTACCCACAGATACAAACATTCACTAGGTGACTTTGGGCCAGTCACCTTCTCTTAGCCCAACCTATTCCACAGGGACATTGTTGTGGGTAAAAATAGGACTAGGGAGTGATATGTATGCTATTTTGAGCTCCTGTATGAAAGGTAGGATATATATCTATCACCTAAATAAATAAAATACTCCTTTTAGCATTCCCTCAATCATTTCATCATTCCATTCATACTGCTGGAAAGTCCTTGTTTTTCCCTCTTCTCCTGCTTTCAAAACAATTTTTCGTTTCCATCAAAATCACTTTGCATTTTCTTTTAATCATTCCTTGCTATTTGAGTACATTTTGGCATTTTTTTCTCTATTTAAGCATGGTAAAATATAGTTCTCTTATCCTCATTATTTGCCATCATTCTTTTATATACATTCTTTTTTTCTTATCCAAAGGCTCTCTCACATTGTCCTT